CTCTCCCTGTCTCCTTCCCTTCTATCAATCTCCCTCCCCTTCTCTGCCCCCTTCTCCTCCCCTCTCTCTCTCACCTTCTCTCCCCACTGTCTCTGCCCTCCCCAATGTCTCTCACTCTTTCTGTCTCTCCTTATTCTCTCTCTCCCACCTTCTCTATCTCTCTGTCAATCGCCCTCTGTCTCTCGTTCACTCCCTCTCCCTCTCCCTCTCCTTCTCCCTGCCTTTACCTGCCTCCCCCATTCCCTCTCCCCCTCTCCCTTTCTGTCTCTATCTTTCACTTCCAGTTGAAAAGACTGAACTAAATCACATATAATTTATTGTCAGATTGTTACTGATTTTGTGGGAACCAAAGATGTATTCCTCAAGCAATTGAGGGTGACAATTTTTGGGGAGGGTGGGGAGGGCCCCTTAAGAGCCTGTTACACAGGAACAGTAAGAGGCCATTCAGCCCCCTCCTCGAGCCTGTTACACAGGAACAGGAGGAGGCCATTCACCCACCCTCTGGTTTTGTCCAGACTTGATGAGTCCTCAGATCCTGAGGACAACTTGAGTCACTCCCGGTCCTGAGGGGGTGGGGGTGGTTTCTCCGAGTGCGACAGCTCCTTCTACCCCTCTCCCCCGCCCCAATTTCCTTACCACTCCCACCAAGCCTACGATATTTGTAACATTTACAGCGTGTCCCCCAATCATAATCCTGGTCTCCCCGACCCTATCCCCCCACCTCCCCGGGTCTCAGGGCCCCCTGTGTGTGTGATCCCAGGTTGTGGGGAGGGTGGGGTAGGGTTTGCGTACAGGAGCATTGGGGGTGGGGTGTTGGGTGGGGAAGGGTGTGCGTCACACCCTCTGCTGTGTCCCAGGTTCGTTATGAACGTTTCCCGTGATTGATTTCTGTGAAATCGGGCTCTGTTTAGGAATAGCCCCCGCGGAGGTAACTCCTCCTTTCTCCCCTTCCCTACCCTCACCCACCACGCCCCCCCAACTGACCCAGGGGGTCTGACCTCCTGTGGGGGGGGTTGCGTGAGGGTGGAGAAAGAGCGGGGAGGGGGGCTGTCGATTTTGGAATAGGGGAGAGGAATCGCTCCTCTCTCCTATCTCTGAGTGGCTAATGGTCCAGGTCTCTGTATCAGAGTTTTAACCTGGGTGACTATTAACAACATCATCACTGCTCAGGCACTCCCTGGATTGGAGAGAGAGAGAGGCAGAGATGGAAAAAGAGGCAGGGAGACAGAGGGACAGGAGAAATCAGGCAGGGGTCCTGCTCCTGTGATCTGTGCTGGAATGTGTCTGTCTCCAGGTATCTCTGTTTGAGTCCTCCTGTGTTACTGTCTGTGCCTCTCTCTGTCTGCATCGTTGTGTCAGGGAAGGAGACAGGTGGTTACAGAAATGCAGTGCGTTGGGGAGCGTGGGCTCCTTTTCACTGGAATGTCTGAGTGTGTTTGATGTTATTTCGGTCAGCTGCTTTTCCTGCAGCCTCTATTTTCGACTCCGTATAAAATAATTATTTATCTTGTTTCTGCTGAAGTATTAAATGTTCAGTGACCGTTAGTGTTTTACAAAGTAATACCAGCAGCTTGGTTTCTCACCACACACAACCCAGAGTCAACCCAACACCCAGGATGGGGCAATGACTGACCTCCTACCCTCCCACAGCTGGGGTCTAGGGTCAGGGGTCAGTGAGAGAGGGTCTTCAGGGTCAGGGTTCAGAGAGAGAGGGGTGTTCAGGATCAGGCGTCAGAGAGAGGGGGGTCTAGGGTCAGGGGTCAGTGAGAGAGGGGGGTCAGGGTCAGGGGGCAGGGGGAGGGGGGGGTTCAGGGTCAGGGGTCAGAGAGAGAGGGGTGTTCAGGATCAGGCGTCAGAAAGAGAGGGGGGTTCAGGGTCAGGGGTCAGAGACGGGGTGAGGAGTCAGGGTGATGGGTCAGTGAGAAGTCAGAGAGAGGGCATTCAGGGTCACAAGTCAGTGCGAGGGGTGAGGAGTCACTGTGAGGGGTGAGAGTTCAGAAGGGGGTCAGGGTGAGGAGTAGGAGGACAGAGACGGGGATTGGGGTGATTAGTCAGCGTGAGGGGTCAGTGTGAGAGGTCAGTGTGATGGGTCAGTGTGAGGGGTGAGGGGTCAGAGAGAGAGGGATCAGGGTGAGAGAAGTCAGAGAGAGAGGGATTGGGGTGAGTGGTCAGTGTGAGGAGTGAGGGGTCAGTGTGAGGTTAGGGGAGAGAGGTGAGGGGTCAGTGTGT